TGCAATGCAAGCCGCCTCCTTAGCTCTGTGGTTAAGACAGAAGCCATTACTTCGAATTTCTTAGGGGCAACTCCTACACGGTATCTTCAAGGCTACAAGCCGCCTCCGTAGCTCTGTGGTTGTAGCGGGGGCCATGAGTTCGAATTTCATAAGGGCAACTCCTACAGCTAATTTCCCATCTTGGATGAACAAACCAGTCAATGTTGTATGTTTATGGGCGATGAGTGAGTTACTGAAACCAATCAAGACAAGCGAATTTTTTGACTCAACTCAATTTCTCACTTTCATTGAGGCAACTCCTACAGTTAATTGCGGCCTGAAAACCACTGAAACCACTGAATACAAGCATATTAATGTGACTCATTTTAATTTCGTATGAATGTCGAAGAGTCCAACTAGCCTCCTTAGCTCAGTGGTTAGAGCACTGGTCTTGTAAACCAGGGGTCATGAGTTCGAATCTCATAGGGGGCTTCCACTAGAGAGAATTTTTAATGTTTGACATACCAGTCAATGTTGCATGTTTATGTGTAATGAGTGTGTAACTCAAACTTATCAAGACAGGCGCATTGATATGACTTAATTTGCAATGCAAGCCGCCTCCTTAGCTCTGTGGTTAAGACAGAAGCCATTACTTCGAATTTCTTAGGGGCAACTCCTACACGGTATCTTCAAGGCTACAAGCCGCCTCCGTAGCTCTGTGGTTATAGCGGGGGCCATGAGTTCGAATTTCATAAGGGCAACTCCTACAGCTAATTTCCCATCTTGGATGAACAAACCAGTCAATGTTATATGTTTATGGGCGATGAGTGAGTTACTGAAACCAATCAAGACAAGCGAATTTTTGACTCAACTCAATTTCGCACTTTCATTGAGGCAACTCCTACAGTTAATTGCGGTCTGAAAACCACTGAAACCACTCAATACAAGCATATTAATGTGACTCATTTTAATTTCGTACGAATGTTGAAGAGTTCAACTAGCCTCCTTAGCTCAGTGGTTAGAGCACTGGTCTTGTAAACCAGGGGTCATGAGTTCGAATCTCATAGGGGGCTTCCACTAGAGAGAATTTTAAATGTTTGACATGTTTATGTTTAATGAGTGTGTAACTCAAACTTATCAAGACAGGCGCATTGATATGAGTCAATTTGCAATGCAAGCCGCCTCTTAGCTCTGTGGTTAAAACAGAAGCCATTACTTCGAAATTCTTATGGGCAACTCCTGCACGGTATCTTCAAGGCTGCAAGCCGCCTCCTTAGCTCCGTGGTTATAGCGGGGCCATGAGTTCGAATTTCATAAGGGCAACTCCTACAGCTAATTTTCCATCTTGGATGAACAAACCAGTCAATGTTGTATGTTTATGGGCGATGAGTGAGTTACTGAAACCAATCAAGACAAGCGAATTTTTTGACTCAACTCAATTTCTCACTTTCATTGAGGCAACTCCAACAGTTAATTGCGGTCTGAAAACCACTGAAACCACTCAATACAAGCATATTAATGTGACTCATTTTAATTTCGTACGAATGTTGAAGAGTCCAACTAGCCTCCTTAGCTCAGTGGTTAGAGCACTGGTCTTGTAAACCAGGGGTCGTGAGTTCGAATCTCATAGGGGGCTTCCACTAGAGAGAATTTTTAATGTTTGACATACCAGTCAATGTTGCATGTTTATGTGTAATGAGTGTGTAACTCAAACTTATCAAGACAGGCGCATTGATATGACTTAATTTGCAATGCAAGCCGCCTCCTTAGCTCTGTGGTTCAGACAGAAGCCATTACTTCGAATTTCTTAGGGGCAACTCCAACACGGTATCTTCAAGGCTACAAGCCGCCTCCGTAGCTCTGTGGTTATAGCGGGGGCCATGAGTTCGAATTTCATAAGGGCAACTCCTACAGCTAATTTCCCATCTTGGATGAACAAACCAGTCAATGTTGTATGTTTATGGGCGATGAGTGAGTTACTGAAACCAATCAAGACAAGCGAATTTTTTGACTCAACTCAATTTCTCACTATCATTGAGGCAACTCCTACAGTTAATTGCGGCCTGAAAACCACTGAAACCACTGAATACAAGCATATTAATGTGACTCATTTTAATTTCGTACGAATGTTGAAGAGTCCAACTAGCCTCCTTAGCTCAGTGGTTAGAGCACTGGTCTTGTAAACCAGGGGTCATGAGTTCGAATCTCATAGGGGGCTTCCACTAGAGAGAATTTTTAATGTTTGACATACCAGTCAATGTTGCATGTTTATGTGTAACTCAAACTTATCAAGACAGGCGCATTGATATGAGTCAATTTGCAAAGCAAGCCGCCTCCTTAGCTTTGTGGTTAAGACAGAATCCATTACTTCGAATTTCTTAGGGGCAACTCCTACACGGTATCTTCAAGGCTACAAGCCGCTTCCTTAGCTCCGTGGTTATAGCGGGGCCATGAGTTCGAATTTCACAAGGGCAACTCCTACAGCTAATTTCCCATCTTGGATGAACAAACCAGTCAATGTTGTATGTTTATGGGCGATGAGTGAGTTACTGAAACCAATCAAGACAAGCGAATTTTTTGACTCAACTCAATTTCTCACTTTCATTGAGGCAACTCCTACAGTTAATTGCGGTCTGAAAACCACTGAAACCACTCAATACAAGCATATTAATGTGACTCATTTTAATTTCGTACGACTGTTGAAGAGTCCAACAAGTCTCCTTAGCTCAGTGGTTAGAGCACTGGTCTTGTAAACCAGGGGTCATGAGTTCGAATCTCATAGGGGGCTTCCACTAGAGAGAATTTTTAATGTTTGACATACCAGTCAATGTTGCATGTTTGTGTGTAACTCAAACTTATCAAGACAGGCGCATTGATATGACTCAATTTGCAATGCAAGCCGCCTCCTTAGCTCTGTGGTTAAGACAGAATCCATTACTTCGAATTTCTTAGGGGCAACTCCTACACGGTATCTTCAAGGCTACAAGCCGCTTCCTTAGCTCCGTGGTTATAGCGGGGCCATGAGTTCGAATTTCACAAGGCACTCCTACAGCTAATTTCCCATCTAGATGAACAAACCAGTCAATGTGTATGTTTATGGGCGATGAGTGAGTTACTGAAACCAATCAAGACAAGCGAATTTTTTGACTCAACTTAATTTCTCACTTTCATTGAGGCAACTCCTACAGTTAATTGCAGTCTGAAAACCACTGAAACCACTTAATACAAACATATTAATGTGACTCATTTTAATGTCGTACGAATGTTGAAGAGTCCAACTAGCCTCTTTAGCTCAGTGGTTAGAGCACTGGTCTTGTAAACCAGGGGTCATGAGTTCGAATCTCATAGGGGGCTTCCACTAGAGAGAATTTTTAATGTTTGACATACCAGTCAATGTTGCATGTTTATGTGTAATGAGTGTGTAACTGAAACTTATCAAGACAGGCGCATTGATATGACTCAATTTGCAATCAAGCCGCCTCCTTAGCTCTGTGGTTAAGACAGAAGCCATTACTTCGAATTACTTAGGGGCAACTCCTGCGCGGTATCTTCAAGGCTGCAAGCCGCCTCCTTAGCTCCGTGGTTATAGCGGGGCCATTTGTTCGAATTTCATAAGGGCAACTCCTACAGCTAATTTTCCATCTTGGATGAACAAACCAGTCAATGTTGTATGTTTATGGGCGATGAGTGAGTTACTGAAACCAATCAAGACAAGCGAATTTTTTGACTCAACTCAATTTCTCACTTTCATTGAGGCAACTCCTACAGTTAATTGTGGTCTGAAAACCACTGAAACCACTCAATACAAGCATATTAATGTGACTCATTTTAATTTCGTACGAATGTTGAAGAGTCCAACTAGCCTCCTTAGCTCAGTGGTTAGAGCACTGGTCTTGTAAACCAGGGGTCATGAGTTCGAATCTCATAGGGGGCTTCCACTAGAGAGAATTTTTAATGTTTGACATACCAGTCAATGTTGCATGTCTATGTGTAATGAGCGTGTAACTGAAACTTATCAAGACAGGCGCATTGATATGACTCAATTTGCAATCAAGCCGCCTCCTTAGCTCTGTGGTTAAGACAGAAGCCATTACTTCGAATTACTTAGGGGCAACTCCTGCACGGTATCTTCAAGGCTGCAAGCCGCCTCCTTAGCTCCGTGGTTATAGCGGGGCCATTTGTTCGAATTTCATAAGGGCAACTCCTACAGCTAATTTTCCATCTTGGATGAACAAACCAGTCAATGTTGTATGTTTATGGGCGATGAGTGAGTTACTGAAACCAATCAAGACAAGCGAATTTCTTGACTCAACTCAATTTCTCACTTTCATTGAGGCAACCCCAACAGTTAATTGCGGTTTGAAAACCACTGAAACCACTCAATACAAGCATATTAATGTGACTCATTTTAATTTCGTACGAATGTTGAAGAGTCCAACTAGCCTCCTTAGCTCAGTGGTTAGAGCACTGGTCTTGTAAAACAGGGGTCATGAGTTCGAATCTCATAGGGGGCTTCCACTAGAGAGAATTTTTAATGTTTGACATACCAGTCAATGTTGCATGTCTATGTGTAATGAGCGTGTAACTGAAACTTATCAAGACAGGCGCATTGATATGACTCAATTTGCAATCAAGCCGCCTCCTTAGCTCTGTGGTTAAGACAGAAGCCATTACTTCGAATTACTTAGGGGCAACTCCTGCACGGTATCTTCAAGGCTGCAAGCCGCCTCCTTAGCTCCGTGGTTATAGCGGGGCCATTTGTTCGAATTTCATAAGGGCAACTCCTACAGCTAATTTTCCATCTTGGATGAACAAACCAGTCAATGTTGTATGTTTATGGGCGATGAGTGAGTTACTGAAACCAATCAAGACAAGCGAATTTCTTGACTCAACTCAATTTCTCACTTTCATTGAGGCAACCCCAACAGTTAATTGCGGTTTGAAAACCACTGAAACCACTCAATACAAGCATATTAATGTGACTCATTTTAATTTAGTACGAATGTTGAAGACTCCAACTAGCCTCCTTAGCTCAGTGGTTAGAGCACTGGTCTTGTAAACCAGGGGGGTCATGAGTTCGAATCTCATAGGGGGCTTACTGGAGAGAATTTTTAATGTTTGACATACCAGTCAATGTTGCATGTTTATGTGTAATGAGTGTGTAACTCAAACTTGTCAAGACAGGCGCATTGATATGACTCAATTTGCAATGCAAGCCGCCTCCTTAGCTCTGTGGTTAAGACAGAAGCCATTACTTCGAATTTCTTAGGGGCAACTCATACACGGTATCTTCAAGGCTACAAGCCGCCTCCTTAGCTCAGTGGTTATAACGGGGCCATGAGTTCGAATTTCATAAGGGCAACTGCTACAGCTAATTTTCCATCTTGGATCAACAAACCAGTCAATGTTGTATGTTTATGGGCGATGAGTGAGCTACTGAAACCAATCAAGACAAGCGAATTGTTTGACTCAACTCAATTTCTCACTTTCCTTGAGGCAACTCCTACAGTTAATTGCGGTCTGAAAACCACTAAAACCACTTAATACAAACATATTAATGTGACTCATTTTAATTTCGTACGAATGATGAAGAGTCCAACTAGCCTCCTTAGCTCAGTGGTTAGAGCACTGGTCTTGTAAACCAGGGGTCATGAGTTCGAATCTCATAGGGGGCTGCCACTAGAGAGAATTTTTAATGTTTGACATACCAGTCAATGTTGCATGTTTATGTGTAATGAGTGTGTAACTCAAACTTATCAAGACAGGCGCATTGATATGACTCAATTTGCAATGCAAGCCGCCTCCTTAGCTCTGTGGTTAAGACAGAAGCCATTACTTCGAATTTCATAGGGGCAACTCCTACACGGTATCTTCAAGGCTACAAGCCGCCTCCTTAGCTCTGTGGTTATAGCGGGGCCATGAGTTCGAATTTCATAAGGGCAACTCCTACAGCTAATTTTCCATCTTGGATGAACAAACCAGTCAATGTTGTATGTTTATGGGCGATGAGTGAGTTACTGAAACCAATCAAGACAAGCGAATTTCTTGACTCAACTCAATTTCTCACTTTCATTGAGGCAACCCCAACAGTTAATTGCGGTTTGAAAACCACTGAAACCACTCAATACAAGCATATTAATGTGACTCATTTTAATTTAGTACGAATGTTGAAGACTCCAACTAGCCTTCTTAGCTCAGTGGTTAGAGCACTGGTCTTGTAAACCAGGGGATATGAGTTCGAATCTCATAGGGGTCTTCCACAAGAGAGAATTTTTAATGTTTGACATACCAGTCAATGTTGCATGTTTATGTGTAATGAGTGTGTAACTCAAGCTTATCAAGACAGGCGCATTGATATGACTCAATTTGCAATGCAAGCCGCCTCCTTAGCTCTGTGGTTAAGACAGAAGCCATTACTTCGAATTTCATAGGGGCAACTCCTACACGGTATCTTCAAGGCTACAAGCCGCCTCCTTAGCTCTGTGGTTATAGCGGGGCCATGAGTTAGAATTTCATAAGGCAACTCCTACAGCTAATTTCCCATCTGGATGAACAAACCAGTCAATGTTGTATGTTTATGGGCGATGAGTGAGTTACTGAAACCAATCAAGACAAGCGAATTTTTTTACTCAACTCAATTTCTCACTTTCATTGAGGCAACTCCAACAGTTAATTGCAGTCTGAAAACCACTGAAACCACTCAATACAAGCATATTAATGTGACTCATTTTAATTTCGTACGAATGTTGAAGAGTCCAACTAGCCTCCTTAGCTCAGTGGTTAGAGCACTGGTCTGGTTCGAATCTCATAGGGGGCTTTCACTAGAGAGAATTTTTAATGTTTGACATACCAGTCAATGTTGCATGTTTATGTGTAATGAGTGTGTAACTGAAACTTATCAAGACAGGCGCATTGATATGACTCAATTTGCAATGCAAGCCGCCTCCTTAGCTCTGTGGTTAAGACAGAAGCCATTACTTCGAATTTATTAGGGGCAACTCCTACACTGTATCTTCAAGGCTACAAGCCGCCTCCTTAGCTCTGTGGTTATAGCGGGGCCATGAGTTCGAATTTCATAAGGGCAACTCCTACAGCTAATTTCCCATCTTGGATGAACAAACCAGTCAATGTTGTATGTTTATGGGCGATGAGTGAGTTACTGAAACCAATGAAGACAAGCGAATTTTTTGACTCAACTCAATTTCTCACTTTCATTGATGCAACTCCTACAGTTAATTGCAGTCTGAAAACCACTGAAACCACTCAATACAAGCATATTAATGTGACTCATTTTGATTTCGTACGAATGTTGAAGATTCCAACTAGCCTCCTTAGCTCAGTGGTTAGAGCACTGGTGTTGTAAACCAGGGGTCATGAGTTCGAATCTCATAGGGGGTTTCCGCTAGAGAGAATTTTTAATATTTGACATACCAGTCAATGTTGCATGTTTATGTGTAATGAGTGTGTAACTCAAACTTATCAAGACAGGCGCATTGATATGACTCAATTTGCAATGCAAGCCGCCTCATTAGCTCTGTGGTTAAGACAGAAGCCATTACTTCGAATTTCTTAGAGGCAACTCCTACATGATATCTTCAAGGCTACAAGCCGCCTCCTTAGCTCCGTGGTTATAGCGGCGCCATGAGTTCGGATTTCATAAGGGCAACTCCTGCAGCTAATTTTCCATCTTGGATGAACAAACCAGTCAATGTTGTATGTTTATGGGCGATGAGTGAGTTACTGAAACCAATCAAGACAAGCGAATTTTTTGACTCTACTCAATTTCTCACTTTCATTGATGCAACTCCTACAGTTAATTGCGGTCTGAACACCACTGAAATCACTCAATACAAGCATATTAATGTGACTCATTTTAATTTCGTACGAATGTTGAAGAGTCCATCTATCCTCCTTAGCTCAGTGGTTAGAGCACTGGTCTTGTAAACCAGGGATCATGAGTTCGAATATCATGGGCGGCTTCCACTAGAGGGAATTTTTAATGTTTGACATACCAGTCAATGTTGCATGTTTATGTGTAATGAGTGTGTAACTCAAACTTATCAAGACAGGCGCATTGATGTGACTCAATTTGCAATGCAAGCCGCCTCCTTAGCTCTGTGGTTAAGACAGAAGCCATTACTTCGAATTTTTTAGGGGCAACTCCTACACGGTATCTTCAAGGCTACAAGACGCCTCCGTAGCTCTGTGGGTATAGCGGGGGCCATGAGTTAGAATTTCATAAGGGCAACTCCTGCAGCTAATTTCCCATCTTGGATGAACAAACCAGTCAATGTTGTATGTTTATGGGCGATGAGTGAGTTACTGAAACCAATCAAGACAAGCGAATTTTTTTACTCAACTCAATTTCTCACTTTCATTGAGGCAACTCCAACAGTTAATTGCGGTCTGAAAACCACTGAAACCACTCAATACAAGCATATTAATGTGACTCATTTTAATTTCGTACGAATGTTGAAGAGTCCAACTAGCCTCCTTAGCTCAGTGGTTAGAGCACTGGTCTGGTTCGAATCTCATAGGGGGCTTTCACTAGAGAGAATTTTTAATGTTTGACATACCAGTCAATGTTGCATGTTTATGTGTAATGAGTGTGTAACTGAAACTTATCAAGACAGGCGCTTTGATATGACTCAATTTGCAATGCAAGCCGCCTCCTTAGCTCTGTGGTTAAGACAGAAGCCATTACTTCGAATTTCTTAGGGGCAACTCCTACACTGTATCTTCAAGGCTACAAGCCGCCTCCTTAGCTCTGTGGTTATAGCGGGGCCATGAGTTCGAATTTCATAAGAGCAACTCCTACAGCTAATTTCCCATCTTGGATGAACAAACCAGTCAATGTTGTATGTTTATGGGCGATGAGTGTGTTACTGAAACCAATGAAGACAAGCGAATTTTTTGACTCAACTCAATTTCTCACTTTCATTGATGCAACTCCTACAGTTAATTGCAGTCTGAAAACCACTGAAACCACTCAATACAAGCATATTAATGTGACTCATTTTAATTTCGTACGAATGTTGAAGAGTCCAACTAGCCTCCTTAGCTCAGTGGTTAGAGCACTGGTGTTGTAAACCAGGGGTCATGAGTTCGAATCTCATAGGGGGTTTCCGCTAGAGAGAATTTTTAATATTTGACATACCAGTCAATGTTGCATGTTTATGTGTAATGAGTGTGTAACTCAAACTTATCAAGACAGGCGCATTGATATGACTCAATTTGCAATGCAAGCCGCCTCATTAGCTATGTGGTTAAGACAGAAGCCATTACTTCGAATTTCTTAGAGGCAACTCCTACATGATATCTTCAAGGCTACAAGCCGCCACCTAAGGTCCGTGGTTATAGCGTCGCCATGAGTTCGAATTTCATAAGGGCAACTCCTACAGCTAATTTTCCATCTTGGATGAACAAACCAGTCAATGTTGTATGTTTATGGGCGATGAGTGAGTTACTGAAACCAATCAAGACAAGCGATTTTTTTTACTCAACTCAATTTCTCACTTTCATTGAGGCAACTCCAACAGTTAATTGCGGTCTGAAAACCACTGAAACCACTCAATACAAGCATATTAATGTGACTCATTTTAATTTCGTACGACTGTTGAAGAGTCCAACTAGCCTCCTTAGCTCAGTGGTTAGAGCACTGGTCTTGTAAATCAGGGGTCATGAGTTTGAATCTCATAGGGGTCTTCCACCAGAGAGAATTTTTAATGTTTGACATACCAGTCAATGTTGCATGTTTATGTGTAATGAGTGTGTAACTCAAACTTATCAAGACAGGCGCATTGATATGACTCACTTTGCAATGCAAGCCGCCTCCTTAGCTCTGTGGTTAAGACAGAAGCCATTACTTCGAATTTCTTAGGGGCAACTCCTACACGGTATCTTCAAGGCTACAAGCCGCCTCCTTAGCTCCGTGGTTATAGCGGGGCCATGAGCTCGAATTTCATAAGGGCAACTCCTACAGCTAATTTCCCATCTTGGATGAACAAACCAGTCAATGTTGTATGTTTATGGGCGATGAGTGAGTTACTGAAACCAATCAAGACAAACGAATTTGTTGACACAACTCAATTGCTCA